ACCTGTGCGTCAGCCCAATCTGGCAGGCCCATACCACCAGGAGTAAAGTCGATCACTAACTCGACTGGTTCTTTTTGGACAGTGGGCGGAGCGCAAACGTGCGGAAACTACTGGAAGGCCGACTTGGAAATAGCACTATGAGGGGCCGTCATGTGTACACATTCACATCGGTGCACATGCGGAGCATATGTCGCGTGCACATGCAATGCTTTGATTGAACACTGGTGACAGCCTGATCCCCTGTAGGCACGTGCGACAAGCCTGTATGCACACGCTGTTTGGATTGACGGCCCTGATCCCCTGTAGGCACGTGCGACAGGCCTGTATGCACACGCTGTTTGGATTGACGACGCCGACTTTTCCCTCAGACAGTACGTGCACAGTTAAGTTTTGTGTCGTTTTAATGACGTAGAGATACATAGTTCGGCACTAGAAACTGCTGGTTTACCACCACGTTATTCATGACTAACTAACGGCCCACCTATGTAACCCATTGGTCTACTGTATGCTTTGCTGTTTAGATAGCGTATTCCATATGAGCCTTTTTGTCCGCTTATAACATCAGAATAAGAGACCACTTGGTGGTCACACTGGGTTTGTATTGTCAGCCTGGAAGGGGTTCTAACAACTCCAACACGTGGCAATCGGTCTCACTCAAGTGCAGTTAATGGATACATGGAGGAGCTGCACACATCTACGAAGCAACTGCAGAATTAGGCCGCAATCCAAACTAGGCTGGTCACTGTTGACGGGACAATTATGCAACATCATATCGATATCAACGTCATCCAACTTACCGAGAACAGAAACAGTTTCGGATTGCATGTATGTCCGGAGTTCAGTCGCTCTTAATAACCTAACATCACGTGGACTGGACAGATATGTCACGTAGGGGCTACGGACCGAAAAAAAATCATGCCTTCATTGGTCAGAATGTCAGCCAATCTGGAGCGATCTTGTGGGACATTCTTTGGTGACCGTCTAAATACGGTTGTAATAACACTCCTCTGTTTCCATGAGAAGCTGTCATAAGCAACCGTGCCTTAATGGGCGGAGCAGGAAGCCAAGGACCGACACAGAAGTTGCATCCCCGCCAGCGTGACACAACAACATGTCAATTGAATGATGCAGTCAGATGTAATGCTCGATATAAACCAGAGGCAAAAATCTTGACGGAGCTCTCCCTCACCAACACTTGCAATAAGTGAATAAGATTAATCTAAAGGTACCTCGTCCCCGGGTAATCCAAAATAGTTTGCTTTTGTAGAATCTGTTGTAAAACCCACCAAAACGTTTGCTCACAGTATGACACTTTATCAGCGCTCCAAGCGCACTTATTACTTACTCCACACAGATTACCTTATAAGGTTAACCGAAATATCGTGTTGATGCATATCAACCGAATTCGCTCGCCATGTTGTGCAGCTTCTTCGCGCAAATAGTTTGAGAGTGTTCAGTTAGGTGTCAGTTGGAAGATATCATGCACATCCATACAAAGCTTAGTGTAACAACAAACAGGCAAAACTAGGCTCGTTACAGGCTCAGTAATCAATCGACATCAGCAGGATCTGGTCTATACTTGATTATGGCGTATAATTCAATGCGATTATCTAGCGTAAATCTGAACGGCCAATAGATATACACTCAGATCCTGAACTGCTCCTAGCCCATTATCACTCTTCAGTTGCCAATATCTCAGTATTTCATTGCTACTCATAACTCACCCTGGAACAGCATGCTTTCTACATAGGAATCACCGGTGGGAGCCAAAACAGACTGGTCTCTTCTAGAAAGGATTGCTTTGTTAGCTCGTATACCATATGGTGGTTCTGTGTAACATTTGAATGAATCTTTATTCAAGTTGTTCTTGTTCGAATATCTGCTGTTCCTGCCCCTAAGAATTCTCAGCATTGACCACTTATGGGTAGTCTCCATGCATTGCGCTGGAGTAAGGCTGAGCAGACGACGTGGAAATAAGCGAAAGACACTAATTTGCAAACAAATTTGGTTTCAAATAGAACAGAAGGTTGACGGAATCTCGGCGACTACGCCTATCTGATGAGCTCCAGGGATAGCGAAACCGGTGGTAGGCTGTCTAAGGATTTTCGGCAACCTTATGAGTAGTGCATTACCTGTAGTCATGGAAATATTTTCGCAGTTGAGTTGAATAGTGTTGCGTTTCTGTCGCAGTAGGTAATGAAACGGAACAACAGCTGCTGATTTTTTTCCAAATAATCAAACTGTTTCGAGTCAGTTTACGGTGATACTAATCCCTTCGTCTCAAGCCCAGGCTGTCAAATTTTACCTTCCACTATACCGGTTTGCTTGGTTCGACTCAATCTCCTTTATGACAGAAGGAGCGCTAGATTTGGAGTCGAGCTGAGGGTAGATACTTCTGACATTCAAGTGCTGAAACAGCATTTGATCGTTATTTTCTACTGAAGTAATCCAACAGATATAGAATTAACGGTTTTTATCATAGGATGGAACCAGCTAGTAATTATGGCGTTGTTTTTTGTCAAATGGAAAATCGTCTCGACAAAACACAACTGTAATAAGTAAAGTCAAATACTAAATCTTACCACAGGCATCATGTTGCAGCATCAGCAGCAAACGCTCTCTAGTGATGGACGTCTATGCAACTGGTAATACTCGCTTTGAAATTTGCAGTTTCTATTTGGTATACGTTGACAGAATACTTAGCTCCGTGTTTGTCAAGATCCGAGAATGTAGGCCGTACCAGTTAGTTTGTTCGCTGGGCACGGCTATTTGGTTCGAAAATCTTCCTGATCAACCAAGGTGAGAGCGCCCCGTTGAGTAGCGCATTGGAGTGGCGCGTCGGTAGTTGAGCCGTGAGCGATTGCAAGGGTGTGCAAATAGGCCTGCCAACTTTCGGAACTCACTTCTGATTGGACGGTCCTGTGGTTTCTCCGATGGCCTGTATTTTGATTGGTCTATGTCCAGTGCCCTCTGATCGACTTTCCTTGTTCTCGTCGATTGGTGAGCATTGCATCACAATGAGGCACTAATGACGTCATCTTGATTAATGATGAAACATTCGCAACCAAGTGGTCCAGTTCGGTAGACAAGCCCGCGAATATCTGTTTTGCTTGAGTTACCATTATTCTCCCAACAGCCAATGTATACTATTTATTCAGAATGGGGACAATATCCCTGCAGTCAGCGGTGGATTCACGCAGAACCTGTCGGAAGCGGTAAATCGACTCACAGCCAATACTTGAACGACCACACCTTTCTTGTACCAATTACTCGACTAAGGAAAAATGTCCCCCCGCACTTTACTCCATCCATACCGTATTCATGCGTCCCCCTTAGGGACTCGCCCCCTCCTAAATAGCTCCGCTTATGCCCACACCTCAGCAGCCACGTTAACATTACTCTGCAGTAGGAGCTAATCTACTGGATTTCGTTTTTTTTTTCGAGCAGAGCAACCAACTAGCCCATCGGTTATCTAGCCTATCTGTCCTTCCAGCTGGGTATCCGAAACGTACTATTCTCCGAACCGAACTACCAAAATCAAGTGTACAATTTTTTCAGGTACTGCCACCGTTTGTCAATGATGATTCTGCCACTTCCTCTGTTTAAAGTGCTTCTCTACAGAGAACAATCATTAGATCGACCAAAAGTGTCACCTCATATGGAAAATTCTCGTGAACTATGAGGTATTCCTGGTCTGAGCAAGTTCAATGCGCTTACCAAAATATAGAGGTCTTTTATGCATCCCCTGGTCATTTCTGATCTTTGCCAACCTTGTTTTCGTTGTCTAGTGCTGACTTAACTCGCTAAAACGAGTCGACACCGAATGATCACACGCAGTCAATGACGCTGAAAGTTGTTACCAGTTTAACGCTATAGTTGGACCAAACCATGCTATATTGACTGTTTTAATACCTTTGGGTTGAACTTACCCACCAGTAGTTCGCTAATTTTGCTGACATTAAAAGATCACATCACTTGTCCTTTCGTAGGCAGACAAGCCCATGTATAAAGATTCATATGAGAAGTTCTCTTACAAAGCCATTTACCCATATTTTGTGAGTAGCGAGTCCCAATGGCGAAAGTGTTTGACCCTTGCCGGTATCTAAATCAGAAAGATGGCCTTTCGTAAAATTGTTGATAACCCTCCGATAGCCACAACCTGTTTCGTCCTTCTTGGGGTTCATCAGATAGGCGCAGTCCACTAGTTTCGGCCAACCTTATGTTTTACCTGAACACAAATGGTACGATGGGTGACTCGACTGAACCTCTTTTTTGTGACATTCTTGAATTGAATGTGTTGCACAGAGTCCACCCCATATTCCGGTTGATACGATATTCGAGATATCCTGATACACAGTATAGGCGGAACATACCACACATAATTTGACTGTCAGAGGTCTCGGCAGACTAATAAGTAGCGTGTCCAGTTTGAACGTCAGTTCGTTCGTCTTACCGTCGATGAAGGCGGTGCAGCGTATCCGAAAATATAATCAAATTATATTTTTCTGTGGAAAGTATCCAAAAAGAGATAGACAGTATGTGCATTATGATTAAAATGAACGACTTTGCAGGAGTGTGATTTACAGTACCAAACGAAACATGAGGTGGCCTTGTGCAACAGATTCAGTTGATGAAGACCATAAACAAGACATCCGAGTGAGTCTTCCATCAAAACAAAATTGGTATGCAAATCAGCATATTTCGAACAAGTTGACTACTTGCACGCAGTTTAGCTGTAACACCCTTTCAGATTCTAACTGCCCTGCCACCCGAAGAAAACACGAGGGTTAAGATACTGTATGGATGCCCGGACAGGAGCGGTCGAGATGCTGAGGTCGGGTTCAAACCACTGACCTTCCAGTCAGCAAGTTTGCGCCTTAACCACTGAGTTATCTCCAGCTCATGGTACTTGTTGCCAAATTTTGATTTCCCTTATGGAGTACCGAATCATACCAAGTGATGACTAGTAATAATTGTCTTTAATGGCCTACTTATGCAGGATGGACCTCATCTACTTTCGATTTTTGGTAGGTGAGCAGGTAGGCACAAATTCACTTGAGCCTAGCCGAGTATATCGTGCAATAATATTTCTTTCACACCTTGGAAAGCCTGAGCAGCGTCAATAACCCACATCCTGAAATTGCCTCAATTCCGAAGCGTTTACATTTCAAGCGGTTGTTGAATTAGGATATTAGATGTGTAGACAAAAGCTGTGGAATGCGATTTATGGAAATGAAGCCGTGAGACAAAGAGCTGCCTGTCGTCCAAATTGGGGTCCCAAGTGCTCCTAATGTTTACCATGGCTCGTGTTGAGTAGCCAGACTCCTTTGTCCTCAATCATTAGTGGATTGCGTTATCACTTACTCCATATCGATTCAGATGCGTTCAGTAAATATTCTAACCGGGCACATTATCGATTTGTTCGAATCCAGTAAACAAAGAGCAAGGATGCGTAAAATGAAAGAGAATGCACCTCCAATGGTCACCGCAAAGTCTTGAAGGCATTTTCTCTGTTGGTGTTTTGTTTTGCCGAACAGCGTAATAAGAGATGCCATAAAAATGTATTGAACATAGCGGTAAAGATTTTTGCTGTTTCGGCACATAAGGTACAGAGAAACCAAATCAGTTTTGACGATGGATCAAATTAAACAGTTGTTTTTCTAAGGCATACATACATATACAGACGACTGTAACCAACTGGGGATCTTCAAAGCAAATAAAACTCGGCAGAACACGTGTTCAGGCTTGGTAGCCGTCTTCAAGGATCGATGCTTCGCCTAATATTGACAGTCAAAGAAATGTTAAAGTCACTCATTAAATATGCCTACACAAGTACACAGTTCAGTCCTACCACAGTTGTCAACGTAAAGAACCAAAGTTCGTATTTTACTGAAACGATTTATACGGCCACCAGTCTTTGCCTACCATTCAGTTGGATGCCTCTCGTCAGGTTAATCTGGAGACTTGAAACAACTCAACCCAACAACAAGTTAATCACTTCCAACTAACTCTTATCTGAAACTAATGTAAGCGTATCTGAAGTTATCCATGAATGCTACAATTTTTCTCCAGTTTACCCACAGGGGTTATCTCCATTTCAGCAAATATGCAACAAAGTTAAGGTGTGATGTACCTCATTCCATGACCATTCAACCCCCATTACAACCTAGATTTTGCATAACATCCTATTTCCAGATAAATATGTAGCGTTTTGACCTGGTGACAAATCCTGCAAGACAAAGCCTGTTAGTTTCCCTAAGTGCTTCCGTAAGTTCAACGGACTGCCGACCGATTTTATGCGTACGCATAATTAGAACAGTATGGCGTACGTACAGCTTCTTCGCTGATTGACTGTTGATATTGGTGTCGGACCCTCATCAGGGCAACTGAATCAATACTCTTTTACACGGCAAGTGCAGGTCTTCTCTCACCTTCTCTCTGAACTCATCAAGCACAATCTCACTACCAAAGATGGATAGATTTGTCCGTTGCTTTATCGTAGTTCTCACTGAAGGATGAGCGATACTCACAAACTCGGCGTGATCACTTTCGATTGGACGCGTCTGCATGCATCACAGAGTACTTCGCTGCTTTGATTCCGATACAAACTACGGAGCACTCCCAGAAGATGAGTGTGAAAGTCGCTACTGCAGTTTCATGTTGGTCCAGTAGAATGTTGATTACAAACAAGACTATATAATCGGTTGCTTATGTATAGTTTTATCTAGGTCATTATCAAACCTGACATCATCAGGAATGCAAAGAACGGAGTCATGTAGGTTCAATTGCATTCTGCCTTGCACGCCAACTACTTATCCGTGCGAAGAATGACACGAGATGTGATATGACCTCCATCTACTTTTAGTCCGATTGACAATCGATATGTCCACGGTCGACTGCAGGTAGTGCGCACCATCCCTTCACTTCATAGCTGAAAATGCACGGTGAGATCGCTCACCGGGTGAAGAGCTGTGATCAAAATCTGTTGATAAAATGAACCAATATGTAGTGCGCAGAAAAACACTTGTGGCAAACGTTTTCTTACCTTTCATCCAAAGTGAATAAATGAAATATCCAACAAGCGCATTTTCGATTTCTAGAAACTTTCGATCGAGCAGCTACCATAACGCAGGCAAATATTATCCAGTTGACAGGTTTACTATTGTCAGCTTCGAAAACCAATCAAAGTTCTAGTTACCAAGTGAAGAAACGGTGCACATCTGCCTTAAAACAAACGGTAGACTCACAAACACACAAAATTCAATGTGAATACGGCGCACTTCCATAACACTTACTCAGAGAAACAATGCTTTCTCGACAGCACATCCAACGTCACCGTAGCTTCACATGACATCCGATGTGAAAGTTGTGTAATAGCCTTAGTTACTGATAGTAAAAAGGAGCCAACGTTGCGTCTTGAGCGATCGACAGCCTTTACGCAGTAGAAAGAAAGTGAAGTTTGTGTTGCCACTTTTCCAGGTGTGAGCACCTCAAAAGTGCCACAGCATTCTTAGGGAATGACGTCAGCGCTCGGGTTTACTTAGGTTTCACAATGCTCGAGGGTTAGTAGCATCACCACAAAATACTGGCAGTATTTTCTACCATGAGCATTTCTTCTCGGAGCGTTGGGTTCCAAGGTGCAGTGCCCTGAATGAAACGACTTTTTCCCGACTAGGGTGACAGGCCGTGGAAATCAAATAGGGTGAATGTGTGAGTAGGTCGGGGACGTTGAACCCATACACGGAAGAAACCGAAAGTCAGAATGTCAGTATACAGCCTGGATGAATCCAATCACTCAACGGGCACAAAACAGACAGGTAGTATAATAGAATGTCGTCACAATGCAATGTCATCCCCTTAGTTTTTGTGTTCCAAACTGGTAATGGCCAGCATCATGTTCATCTGACGTGCGATCATATCTGTTTTACAACTTCATTGCATTTTGAAAGTGCATAGCAAGCAGAACAGTGTTTATTTGCTCAGCCGACTTCTGCCATCTCGAATATCAGACCGGATTGCGCGCCAGCCTGACTTCCGCATTTGGCTTGTAGAACAGTAAAACACAGCACTATGACCATGGGAAATCTGTACAGAACTGGTTCCAGCCAAACTAGGGAAACTTGAACCTTGCCGAAAGTTCATACCACAGTTGCGTCCAGAAATGGTCCATGAGACTGGGAATGGTTATACCTAAATAGTATAGTACAGTACTCTTATCTTAAGAAATAGCAGATATGGGGGAACGCATAGACACATGTATAATAGGTCTACTGAGCATCATCATCATCGACAGAATGACATCAGTATTCAACACCGGTGCTTCACTGCTGTACAACCATGATTTATTTGAGAGCCTTATTGTAAAGAAAAGGGCAAAGGTGGACAGGGAAGGGACTTAGTGCTAGTTTAACACAATCATTCCGAGGTGCCTACACCGCCAAACACTCCAATCTGGATAGAAACTGACAACAAGATCGCCACTGACATCGGATGGCAGCCATATCTTGTGCTGCCTCCAACCAGGCGAGTTAGGATCACGCGGTCCCCATCCTGGAAGGCGAGTAGCACCGACAGCACCCAAGCGTTTCGTGATCTCCTTTATACTCCTCTGCCAAATCAAGGGTTGGCCACCTCTGCTTCAGCCACTCTGAATTGGGCATCGAAAATAGCACCCTCTTCGGCAAACGATGGTTCGGCATACGCAACACATGTCCCAACCAACGCAGCTTCTGGTGCTGGACACATTCTTCAATGGATGTACCCGTTGCACGACCGAAAACGCGCTTTCTAACTGCCTTGTTACGGATTCTTTGACACCAACCCACCTGAGCTATGGTTCTGAGACAACGATTGTCAAACACCTGAAGACGTCTCAGTTCCGCTGCTCGAATAGGCCAAGTCTCACAGCCATACAACAGAACAGCCCGTACTGTAGCTTGATACACCGAGCAGCTTCTAAACAACTACACGCTAAATGACAAAAAAGGAAATCCTTGATTTTTAGGCAGTGACCTACATTGTTTCACCTACATTGTTCCACCAAGTTGAGCTGCATCAAGAAATTATTTACACGTCAACGCAAGAGATTGGGTGGATCGTTTCTTGGCATTCTGTATCACTTATGGTCGGTCCACAAAAAAATTCTTAACATTTATTTAAGACTATGGCTTGTTTATGATTTAGTTGGTCAAGCACGAAGTAGACACTACAACGCTGGTCATCTCAGTTGTACCCCTGTGTACGATATGGCCACATATGATCGCCAGTCGCGCAGGGCTTCTCTTCTGCTTGACTGATTTAATACACCAAGACTATTCTCAAATGGTCTACCATAGTTTACGTAATTTACGTGTCATAAGCATTGAAGTAACAAAACGCTTACATCTATCACTTTTTTTACCTGTGACTAAAATTCTCAAATGCGACATCCGCTAGTGTCGGGCATTATCATGAAAACTTTGTAGGGTTAAATAAGTACACTACCGGGCTACAGTACACCATGCAGTGCAAATAACCAGCTGATGGTTTCTTCATAAGTGTCCTGCGGTCATCGAAGCTCTAGCGAATCACTAGCGGTTTCCAGACTTAGCAACTCCACACAAATTGTCAACTACAGACGGGAAAGAACGTTCGGACGATCATCACACCCGTAATCAGTTACTGGTTTCCAGACGAGGTTGGGCAGCCGACAGTACCAACGCGTCCATTCTAGTTTCGGATTATTCTAGAATACACCAAAAGGTAGAGAATAAAACCTACGACCGCTACCAAATCTTGAATGAACCTAGAAAACGCCGTACCCGAATAACGTCCTTTATTTCAGTCGTGATTCGTGTTCATTTTTGCAAACTCCTGACGCAAGGGCACAATTCGAATGTTCTTTTTTCGGATACGCAGGCCTGCCCACGTTGACGGCGAGTCAACCTAATGTTTAGACGGAATACACCACTGTTGCTGGAAACTATTTGACAGCAATCTTACGAAGTATTGGGATGTCTCGAATACGGTACCAACTGGAACAAGAAGCGCTGTGCAGCTAACTCAATTGAGTGATACCATTAATAAGAGATCTAGCTTGAGTCAGCTGAGCCTGCCGTTGAAACTAAACTAGCGTATTTCAGAAAACGATCTGTCATTCCGTACTAATTACTTCCTCTGCACTTGGATATCGCTGTTCACCATCGACCGTGTCACTACGCAGTACGTTTGACATTGGTCGCGAGTTATGATTTCTCCTCGAAATAAAAACAGCTACAGAGAACTTGCGGCAAAATCGATCGCAGCAACGATTGACAGGGTCATCCGAAATATATAAAAAATCTTTCAGCTGTAGCACCCTTTTTGTGCCTAACTGCCATGCCACCCGAAGGTTGCACGAGGGCTGGGATACTGCCAGGTTGTCCAAGCCTAGACAGGGGAAGTCGAGAGGCAGAGGTCGGGTTCGAACTACGGACCTTCAGGTCAGTAAATTCGCGGTCTAACCACTTCGGCTATCTCGCCCCCATCCGAAATAACACACCAGTCACACGACTGACCCGTCGTTCCGTCCTATGGGTATCATCTGAAGGTAGCGTCAGCTCCAGTTACGGAAACTCCTTTTTTGGAAAAAGCGCCAACCCAGTTTTCCGCATAAGTTTACACGCAAATCCATGCACCCCTGTGCTCGAATGTCATACTCTCCAATCTAGTGTAATCTCTCGTTCGAGTCCTGAGCCCCATTCGACAGACGCCCTATGTCCAGACCCATCTAACATCTTTCACGCGTTCGACCTCACATTCCCACATTCTCTACTTAACAGTAGTCAGATGTGTATCAAACCGTACTTAATTGTAAGAACGGTCATTAAACTCGTGATTTCACTAATGCTGAGGCTGCCAGGACCGCATTCAACTTTCCCACATGATTGGTTTTGTTCTGCCCCGCAATCATCCATCGCTGACCACTTTCGCAATCAACATATGCTGATATCTTGTTACATAGTTCTTCAAACAACTCTCCGGAAACCATAACCTCTGGAGGAAACGTCAGCGACCACTTGCGCAGTGAAGGTGAATTTGGTGTGGGGCGAGCTTCGGTTTCTTATTTTAGTATTCGAGACTACTCACAAAGCACCGTGCCTTTATTGTCAATCCTTTAAGAAAAACTGGATTAAAACCACGTCTTCAGTGACTTGAAATATCTGCAGCAACCGCTGTTCTGAAAAAAAGCCCTAAAGCAGAGCGACCAACCATGAGAACGAGCTCAGACCATTTCTAGACACCTACCAACACCATTACTAAAGAAAGTGACACCGGTGTTGGCACTGATGCTTCACTGCCGTGCAAACATAAGGTTGGTTTAATTATTTTTAAACCCTTAGAGTCAAGAGGGAAAGGGCAGGTGATGGAGCGTACCTGATGCTGACCTATCGCAAACCTGAGATGGTTACACCTCCAAGCGGTCAGTCAAACGATCTGGAAAGAAACTGACAGCACGAACGCCACTGACATTGATCAGCCGCCACTTCTTGCAATGTCTCCAGCCAAACACAGGCGGGGTCATGGGGACCCCATCCTGGAAGGCGTTTAACAACAACATTAAAACTATTCGTGATCTCCTTCGCGCTCTTCTGCTAAGTCATACGTTGTCCACCTCATGATTTGCGCTATCCTGAAGGAGACACGCATGCGTAGCATATGCCAAGCCATCGTAGTCGGTGCTGAACGTTTTCCGATTGAAGTACCAGCCGCACAACCAAATACTCGTTTTCTAATCACCGCGTTACTTATCCACATGACGCCATCCAAAACCACCAACGCTTCTGAGGCATCGGTGTTCGCAAACCTGAAGACGCCTCACACCATCTGCCCGCAGAGACCATGTCTCGGATCTACACAACACAGCCCTTACTGTAGCCCGAGGCATGTAAAATTTCGCACAACCTCCAGTGATCCTTCTAGAAGTAAAAGGAATATGTTCACGTTCTGAAGCTGAACTCTGCACTTTGAAGGTGCAAGGCGCATGCCAACAGATGGTAGGATGGTGGTCAGTTTATTCAACAGGGCTTGTGCTTCGCTTTGGTCTTCAAAGATGAGGGCGATGTCATCCGCATACTCCAGATCGACAAGGCTCTCACCAGCAACAATCTGAACACCGGGGTTTTGAAGACTATCCAGTATTCGCCTCACTATTTCATCAATGATGAAGTTGAACAAGAATGGAGATAGTGGACATCCGCGTCGGAATCACTTTTTGTAGGAAAGCCACTGGAGAGCTCACCACACACTTACACTCGCCCAGAAGTGTGTGAATATAGGAATCGGGTTATGTTTACAAACTTCTGGGGCACATCCTGTTGAGCAAGTGTAGTTAACAGCACTGATTGATCGACAGAATCAAACACACTCCTTAAGTCAAGGAACACCAGGATTGTGGATCGTCTGTACATGTGGCGTTGCTCTAACACCAGACGAAGTGTGAAGATGTGGTCAACACAGCCTCTATCCTGTCGAAATCCCATTTGATTCTCACGAGTCAAGGCTTCGCGTGCCACCGCAAGACAAAAAATCACTGGCGCCAGAAGCCTTGTCGTAACAGGCGTCAAACTAACACCGCTGTGGTTACTACATTCACGGCGAGTACCTCTTCTGAAAATGGGCACTAATACCAATTCACCACAGTTGTCTAGGACGGTCTCCTTCTCCCAAATAGGATACAGACACTGGCTAAGGAGACCAGCGTCATCCTTAAAAAGAGCAGGTCAGGACCAGCAGCACGATGATGCTTGAGTAGGGAAATAAACTCGGACACTTCTGGGACTGAAGGCGGCTCCATATTCACGGTACATCCCTCTATTGAGGGTCAGGATTCTGGATTGGAGGTAGCAGGTGGCCAGCTGAATTGCTGTTCGATGTACTGTGCCCAGCGGTCCAAACGTTCTGCCTTGCTGCATATCATGGAGCCGCTTTGGCGCCTGATTATTTCCCTTACAAGACGTTTCCGAGAGCCAGTCGAACGCACAAATGTTCGGGGTCCACGCTGGTATTCCAGGAGAGGCAGGCGGTGGTCGACCCTCACTATCGTTAACTGACGGCCATGTGGTCTAGTTAGATCCGTGACTGGTTTGTTGGTGGGCATCACATTATGCAGCGATTTCCGCTGCTCCGGAAATTCATATCACGAAGGAAGCCCGTGATTAGCACATATCTGAAGGAAGCGATTCACGCTGTCCGTTCGTCTCGTGTTCATTCCAAGACGACCACCCAGTCGGTTCTAAGCAACGCTTAGTCTACCCAACTGGTCGTTCACGTCACTAGCAAACACGATATCTTAGATTTTAGCTCGCCGTGGAAGGGTACCTTGAAATTGCCCTTGGCAAATTCAGAGCTACACTCAGTTGGGGCGTAAGGATACACGACAAACAAGGTGCGATGAACTTTCACTTTCTCCAAATTCTCTCACATGTTGCCAAACTAACCGCAGAGTCGACTATCAACGGGTATCCAAACCGCTCGGTCGCTCAATACAATACCCACCCCAGTATATCCAGCTGCAGCGGCATGTCACCGGAGGTGCGCAGCCGGAACCTGGAAGAGACCGAAGGGGCAGTCAGTTCAACCGCAGTACTTACCTGAACCCTTGGTTCTGGCAGATATCACATCAATGCAGGAGGAATCCAGTATACAAGCAAGAGGCACCTGTTGACCTATTTGCTTCAGTGTGCGGACATCGAATGCAGCTGAGTAAACAGGCTTTCTGGGTTTGGAACTAGACTTCAGTGTTTAGGGCTGTCACTCAGCTGCAGCTGAAAGTGATGCGGCAACAAGACCTGTTCGGCAACCTAGTGCGATTTCGAATTAGCCAACTGTCATGTTACCCTGGTCGACAACGCCCACCAGCTTGCGTAAACACATGCGCCGTACCACGGACTACTCGTCGGATGAGCCAGACTCGAGTCAACGTAAGTCACTACCGGTAGCAACATCAAGGTTGGAACACTGGTGACTGTCTTACCACCACGTCGATTTATTCGCATGAAAACTAGTAGTATCACCTATATCGGTAAGTTCAATGCGGTATGAATGACCAACACAGCACAGCAGCTTCCGTACATTGGCTGGAGGGGCCACTTTACCTAACCAACCCTTAACATTTCAAGTCTCGCAACGTTCAGATATCCACCGGCCAGATCGAGAAGGAAGGGTCTACACGAAGATCGATAGCCTAAACGCTCAAAAGAACATAGTAAACGCTCTCATAGTTGACTTTGATGATTTGTCTGATGCACCGAACGGACCCTACGCTCAGGAGTTGTGATCAAGAAGTGGACTTGATTATCAGGAGGTCCGTTGTTCAAACCCATTCTAGGTATCTCGACCGTCCTTGTCCACGATTGGGCAACCCAGAGGCATTCATCGGGTGGCAACTAGGCCACGAAAGAACGTTAGTCTGAGCGAGAGAAAGTGCAACAAACGGTTCGCGCTGACCTGTTTGTCAAACACACGAACGAACATAACTCGGGGTAAACTGCCAACATGCCTAAATGTTAGCCGTCAGACTGTTTCAGATAGCCGTATTTCCACACAACCGCCCTACGTTTGTTGCCTCAAAAAAGGGACATAGTTTCTAGTTTGTTCGAAGTCGCGAAGGTTAACTCCGAGTTACGCTCTCTGAATCAACTACTCAGTAATGCGGTGGTCACGGACCTCTGCCCAAGTGTGCAGCCACACAATACAATTTGCGAACACGCTAAAACTTTGACTAGTTCAGATGGCGGTCGATTTCGGGATCTAGCCCGGTACTGTATTTAGTTAACTGAAAACCTGACCGAGTTACCGCACCGCGTTCTATTCACCGGGAACTGATGTCCATTGACAACGTCCTATCACATACGTGAATAAAACCCAACTCAGTAGAATACATCTTTTAACGGATAGGTCTGGAGTAGACAAAGACTTTGCACAGCTGAGCAAATGGACCCAGCGGAAATATGGTCGGGCAGTTACACAAAAACAATATGGAGCAAACCCTGGAGTCATGATTAAATGACAATTTGTGCGATAGGGGGGGACTGAGGGAAGGTATGAAGAGCAAAACAGGGACACCTGAAGTGCGTGCTGCGTAAATGCATTTGGAGAGCGCTGTCTGTTCCGAAGACTGTATATATGGGTTTATCTGTACTGTACACTGAGAACGTTCGCGGTAGACCATGACGTCGATCGGAGGTGGACTGCTCTAAGAATGGACACACGCACTAAAATGAACTTTGAACATATACAAGAGAAACCTGGTTTCGACGACCGTCAATGAAGGGACTCATCAAATCATTACTCAAGCGTTGCCCCATTATTGATATGGCCTTCCGTTTCTTCCGAAGCCTTATGTTTAATAACTGGTGCCTCGTCATCCAAGTCATCATCGGCAACCGGTGCGAGATCGCTACGCCGTCGCTTACTTCCTGGTCGTCGCGGCCCGGTCACGCCTGCACCAGACAGATTGGCACCATCATCTTCAATATCCTCGTCATCTTCCTCTTCCTCATCATCGTCTTCATCGTCATCGTCATCGTATTCACCTAGCTCAGCATCTTCCTCTTCACCTGAAGTGGAAAAGTAACGATATATGGTAATATCAGTCAACCATCGAAAGCTGCAGGTTACGGTAATACGGGAGCTGTCCTGCCGATGCTTAAGACTCCCCACTAACCTAAATCAACAAAACATAACTGTTGTTTAAAGGTTGTAGTGAGGGATGGACACCACAAGGCGAGTTGTTCATGCCCGACGACACTAGAAGAGGCCAAATGCAGGACACAAATCAAGGTAACTGAAACCACCGACACACCACATGTACGCGGCTTACAGAAGAAACCCATTTGCGAATGGAAACTGAAATGAGCATGCATGGCGGCGCGGTTGGGATTAAAATGTGCCCTACGGAGCATCGATTTGGGTCCAAACTCCATACCGGTGTCAGTCAAGCGAGTCAGCTCCTGATTGGCCTTCGGCGGACACCAGATTACTCGATGGAGGGGTTCATGGTCGGGGACGAGAATGTTTAGGCATAATTCACGTGCCCACAGAGGTGACTGTCCAAAGTGCCCTAGCAAGATAGATGCACTAGGAACATTTCGGGGTCAATGCAGTAAGAACGTTCGCTGAAACCCATAGGAAACCTCCAGACCGATTGGGAAGTCCAACGGAAATTTCGGGAGGGACAAGCCGGAACCTCGACAACAGTACCAATGCACGACACCGCATGTAGTTGGATGAAAGTCATATTTACAGGAACCGTCACCTAAATAAAACAGCCTCTGCATTGCAAATGAAGCGGCTATTTACGAATGCCAAGATCCAAGTACAAGGCCATACCAATCAGCTACCTTCTCCCTCACAACTGCGGCGTGGAGGCAAGCTCCCGGTGCCACCAAGCTACAACACGCCGATTACACCACGTTGCCAGGTTGACTAAAAACCCTCCAGATGTTTCTTATTTTGTGGTTTGGACTGGAGTTCGGAAAAGTTTTTCGAGAAATCGATAGTGTTCTTTCTTTCAAAAAACAACACGTTACTGCAAACCCTTCAACAGCTTGTTGTCATCCTCGCGCTTCTTGGGGGCCCCAGTTGAACACCAAAGTGTAAGCAACTGGCAAAGCAGTTATCTGCGAGTTACTTAGGCGTACGCGGGAGACTCAATCGAACATGTCTCTTGTGAAGTCAGAGTGGGTAAACTAGAGATTCAGTCGTCTCCAGTTAACAATAAAGGGAATTGCAGATGACTGCATTTCACTGGCGCTATAAACGTATTCCGGCTAGCATAAATTCAAGCTCATTTATAGGACGTCCAGCTAATGGCCTAATGGCACAGATCAAAGGTTGTGGTGGCAGTCAACAACGCAGAATGCTTGCAACTTCGCCGCGACGAATACTGCACATGCGATTCGGTTACACTGAGCAATGCATTTGTACGTTGAAGATTGTCAGGTAAGACTACCCCAATTAACTTAGGTCCACACACTTCGCTAGGTGGCGCTGAAATTCCCAATCTAATTTGTCAGTAGTAACCGACCGGCTGCCCTAGGTGTACAACCCTGGTTATCAAAGTTAACTCACAGCAATGTACCATCCAAACGAGAACATTACTGCTTAACTGCATCCGAGCACATGCACGACCGCAATTTAAGCGGACAGCACCAACAGGATTGGCACACGTTATAATTTACAAAGTGAGAAAATTGGGAAGGAAATAGTGTACGACCGATCACTATCTGAAGCTTGGGGACAAATTGGGGAAAACATACCCGGAGCATAGTCTTCATCATCGTCTTCCAGGTCACCGCTCCGCTGTAGGGCTTCGATTCCATACTCTTCTTCCTCCTCCTCATCGTCGTCGGAGTCCTTTTCTTCGTCATCATCTGCCTTCTCCTCACCATTGGCTGCCAAAATCAGAAATATGAACAGGTGATTATTAGACCAGAACCCGACTACGATAAGTGTACTCTAATTGTCTCTTAGATAAGCAGTCACCAACAGCCAGAATGCAACCGAGGAATATTGAACACATGAGCGACGCCCAGTAGCAAAAGGTGAAAATACCATGGTTTAATTGGGGTTACCAGGTCGATATTCACTACGAGACCTCATTTGCATTAAGGTCTATAACGGGACTTGACGTGCTAACTAAATACCGCAAAAGAATGCGTGTCACTGTAACGAATTCACATTACCACACTCGGACAGTTTGATTTCATTATGTGATGCTAAAATCCCGGTTGTGTTCATAAACGTTCACGATATTAATGACTCAGTTGTAGCGCCCTTCCAATACCCAGTTGTCATGCCATCCGAAGGATGCCGAGACAGGAGCACGAGTTTAGTTCGAACCACGCACCTTCCCGTTAATAAGTTCGCGCCCGAGGAGTCACAAAGTCGTGACCGTATTAGTAGCGTTTCGTCTTCCTTGCTGATGCTGCCTGTTTTCACGGTGTCGTGCTGTATTTACTCGGTAAGCTGCTTTTCACATGTTCATCACCCCATTTTAGACCGTATTACCAAAATGCAACTGCAACGGATAAACAAAAGGCGAAAATGTGTGGTTAACACAATCGGATGAAGTGCAAAATTGCCTGTCGTCAAGGTAAGCCTGAAGGACACTCACCGACCTCCACACCGCTTTTGGGATACCCCAATCAACACATCACAATGCGAGGTCGGGTGTTGCCGCCGGATGAAGATTCTTCGACCATTCGAAATGCTGAACTAACGCAGCTAGTGGACAGTTGGGGGAATTGAAGCGGATTGGGGTGGCTGCGTTGGCCCCAGCGACAGCAAAGTCCCCATAATAGGCTTTTGCAGACCGAGTGAGCACGCGTTTGGAAAACCGACAGTAAGTTATGGACGGATTAGAACTCGGTTTGGGTAGGGGAGTAAGGGTGCCTGAAACTTCCGTGGACATTCCCTGCTGCATCAACTCCAAGTAAGAATACTGGCGGTAATGCTTCGGTTGAATGCGATAAAACCAGAAATCCCGAAAGGATGGCTGACGCCGAATCAACGTTCTCGTTTACCCAGAGAAACTTGGACTCAAGGCTCCGATGGCGACTGCAAACGATAATAACGCCCTTGTCATGGTTATGGTTCTGATTGACTTTGAATGCCCCCAAGTCAACTAACTACCCGAGGAACCGATCAAACTTGTACGTACCTTGTGACTAAGCGGAAAGATTTACAAAACTGGAACTCTCAGCCACCATCTACGTTTATTACTAAAGCAAGATGCTCCATCAGGTTATGAGATGAGAGCATCTCCGGAATTTCCGTTTTTGGGGCTCGCCAGATATTTCTAACGTGGAATACCGGAACCACACCCGCTCTGGCAGATCCATTAGAGATCGTGGGATAGCTGAATCACCCCATCATTATATGACAGCCCCTTAACCGTGCGTAGCAGTTGTGCGACCCAAACGAAGCATGAAACCGGGCGACCTAAGCCTGTACAGCATTAAAAAAAATACTAACCAGCATTCTACGCACGGATTCCGCAAACAGAAATTTCGAGCACTGACCCACGAGAACCGTGAATCTGTGGGGCTCCAAAGGGTAGTCTCCCTTTCTATCGGTTCTCATTCGGGATAGTGTACGTGGAGGCCCTCATCGCGGCGATCCTGCTCTATTAATGCCTACATAGCATGACTTATGGCTATGGAAGCAGATGGCGCAATCACACACAGAGAGCTGTTCGGGTTCTAGTAGAGTGACCGTCCTGGTTTGAAGTCATCAGAGTGGTGGACCAGTGCAATAACAATTTAGGGGGTCAGGCAGCTTTGGACGCATGACAGCCAAGTACCAGCACAAATTACTGATGGTGTCAATGATGAACTGCGGATACATATGGAAAATCTGGTTCCCAATCACAAGAATAAACGGATACATCCTTCCCTTGAAGCGAGATCGTCCGGTTGTGGGTTATCGAAATGCAATGCTACCCGAAATCTGGAACGTCTGTTGAAAATTTAAACATTCGACAAGCGGGTGCAGGTTAGATGTTAAAACCGGCAGCTTCCATCTGAACTGAATTACGTCGAATGCACCTAACACAAACGAGACTCGAAAGGCCGGGGTAATCACAGGTCAATCACAACAGCGAAGAGTAATTTCGCCAATTTCGGGTAAGCTGACCACTCATCTAAGACAGGTTAAATCTGGATGAAAAACCCTAGGGAATGAAATAGAAGCCACCTTCGTGACATCCCAGGACAGTTACGCCACGCAAAAAGAACGCCGCTAAGTCGAGGTTTTGGCCAGCGAAACAAACCTAAGAGGGGAACACACACAAGCCAAATACCACACCGACGTCGAGCTCAAATAGGTGACATATACACTGCGATCCTAGGAGACCTGTACACTGTTGGTAATTATTTCCGAAACCAGAATGAATAAAAAATAAGCCTACCGCTCCTAGTACTATGTGGCTCAAATACCAAGAATCACCGACTCACCTTCCTCCACATCTCCATTAGGGACAGCTCCAGTAGGCTCTTCCTCGTTGTTTCTAAAGCAAATAGCCCGTGTATCTCGTAAACTTACTCATCTAGACCGTCAAGGTACTTCAGATTAGGGAGGGCGGCGAACACCGTCTTTCGATAGTTTTCCAAGCCCGTCACTTCGCAGTTGAACAGATCAATACTGCTGAGACATGAGAGTTTCGCCAGTGGAAGGAGGGTGTCGATTGTAGCTACTTTATTGGCACTCAAATTAAGCGTCTCCAGATTTGGACAATTAAGTAATGCTTCCAGACCACCACTGATGGCATTGTTGGAAAGGTCAAGCTGTGAAGATCACACATGAACATAATTCAACTCACTATCTTCAGAGAGGGAAGTTTGGGTAAACCAGAGAGGTCTTCTAAACCAACGCCCACGAGATTCAAGACCTCCAGGTTCGTGAACTCATCAGAAAGACCTTCAATCACGGTGGATTTAGAATGACTCAAAGTCAATTCTTTTATCTGTGAAGGAGAAATTGTACAAACTCAAGAGGAACGCACCTCCGAAGGAGCCTTCTTGCCCTGTTCCAGTTCAATGCGTTGAGGGAGCGTCATAAACGTCATTCCCAACGACGACAGAGTACGGCGCGAACCCGCGAAATATTTGAAGATATGGCTGACCCCAGGCAGGAAATTATCTTGACAATTCGGCTAAACAAAGTACTCAGGACGGGTCACTCGCAATCATAATCAACAAAAGACAACCGGAAAACATAGCAGCTAGAACGCCTTCTTATTAGGATGGCTTTTGGCACCAATAGTCTGCGTTGTGATAAAACAAACCGCGGTCTTTTCGAACTAGCAGTTCAGTATTTTTCGCATACTCCATGTGTTTACTAGGATGAGCGCCCTGGGAGATATCTCAAGATTATCTGATTAATTTCATGTTAATTTTCTACGAGTCATTCAGGAGTTACAGGATTTTGTGCACGTTTCCGCCTGAACCTCGCCGGGATATAGTGAAACTACAAGAGCACACGGACGACAGCGAAGATACGACACTTGAAGTTCGGAGGAGAAAGCATCGTTCTGTTTATTAAGCCTTTGATCCTTCATGATCCTTCATGAACCACAGCTCGAGTTTTCTGCGTGCAGGTCGGCGTCAAGGGAACAAATCAAATATTTAGTGCGCGTGTATCTTTCTTGTGTAGAATTTGCTGTTTTCAAACGATATGCCCTTAATCGCGTTAATGCTTCACGAACTCACGGATTGACACATAAGTTTGAAGCTTGATCCCCATTTTACTGGGTCAATTTTGTTCTTGTCGTTTAGTGACTGCCGTTCACTTGAAGGGCACATGAGAAAACGGGGTGCGGCCCTCAACATTAAATTCTCAGCGCGAGGCAATAAGCTTGCCAACTCGAGGACTCGCATGGGAAAGCGCCTAATGGTGCACTTAACTGAGTTCTAGATTGAGCGTGGACTATCTTCGGAGGAACGTTATTCCACCCAGCAACTACACTGAATAAGAAAACATTTCGTCTAATGAAAGTATGCCATGTGTACCATCTATTATTTTGACAATGAAATTCCTCAAGTTTATTATGTCCCCATTTGTAACACCCGCCCCACTTTTGTGTTTAGTGTGTGTATATGAAATGAGGTTTGTTTGTCCTTAACACTTCACCCATATGGCCTTGAGGTCATCTGGCCATTTGTATCTGACTTTTCACGTGTGACTGTCGCACGTGGGAGACTGTTTGCTCTCTTGCTTTGTACTTTTGTAGTCCAAGCGGACTGTTTGTTTTGGACGCGTATCTACTGGCGAGGTTTGTATAATTTGTGAATTTTTCTCACCCCAATAGTGCCGTATAGAAACCCGGCTCCGACTTTGTTTTGCCTACCCGGAGGTTCTGGTATTACGCGTCAATCGAAGATAGCGTTCGCCCGTTACACGATGTATGCCTAAAAATCATCTTACATGTCCGCGCCGTGTGTTTGCCGGCTCAGCGGTGGAAAGACTTGTTGGACAAACCCTGCTCAAACAGGGTATAAGTAGGAATAAAGTCTCCTCGGAGGTGACGATACTCCATGGGTAAGGGGTCAAGCATCACGATGCACGTTCCATAGTCCATGTATTTAGGGCCGGCAACCGGTTACCTGGTAGCTTGCTAGACACGCTCAATGGGGGTTACGTGCTTCGTGCATCCCGATTAGACATCTTATCTGGCATATTCAGGAGCCGGCGTGGTTTAAGTCCCGCAAAGTATTTGAAAATCAAGCAAGTTATACTAGGGAAGCTGCACCGAATCATCCGTAGAACGGCGAATGTCTTTTGAGCCCATTTTTCATGGTGCAATCAGAAGAGCATGTTTGAAGAAAGCCAGATACCCTCATTCATTTTGACATCAATCCTTGTGGTGCCTTCTGATCCATTCTCACCATGCATGACAGATGCGTTCACTGTGTCTCCGCCGAATAATATACGGTGCATTATTTGGAGGAAGGTGCCATCCCCGCAACTATTTTTCCGCAGCGTCCACATCCACGTGGGTGGCACTGGAATTAGAACCTTAGGATTTCAAGTCGTCCGCAAAATGTAGCCAAGGAGTTTCAAGAATATCTGGACGGTCGAGCACGCGGATCAGAAACAATAGTGGTCTCAAAAGGGAGCCTTGAGGAACCCTTATTGAGAAGTGCCCCGGAGAAGGTTAGGTCATGCCTAATTTCACTCGAAATGTTCTATCTGAAAGGAACGCCTTGATCAAGTGTTGAGTTTTTCCGTTGATTCCAAAAGACTTGAGTTTATGAAGCAGCGGAACATGTGCAGTTCGATCGAATGTATTTGAGACGTCGAAAATCGTGGCATCCGATCTGAGTTCCTCGTCTTCGGCTTGGGTTAAGCCGTCCATAATTACGAGCGTTTTCGAAACGCAGGAACGGTTTGAGAAGAGTCCGCGTTGAGCTAGACATATCGAGTTGTTGAAAGTAAGGTGATATAGGATGGCTCGCTTCAGAATGCGTTTCATCACCTTGTACAGCACACTATTGAGTCTAATAGGCCTGTAGCTGTCGGGTGTGTAGCTGCCGGACTGGGTAACTAAGCGCTGGTAGACTATTTAGCCGAGGATACATGATCCCTTCTGCTCTGAGTGACCCATCACATCGCATGGAACGACACTTCAACGTCACACATATTAGATCCTCGCGCACCCAAAGATAGTCTGTTACCCTCTATTGGTTTTACCATCCCATGAACAGAACTCAACCTCATTAGGAGCCACTGTCATTCATTGACAAAAACCGCGAAACCGAAATTTCAAGGTCAGGTGTTGTAGAAACTTTTTTTGGATTATAGATCACCCATAGGTCGGTAACCATTTTTATACTAGGTAACTATTTTTCCCCAGGGCTCACCAATTTTCTGCGGTCTCAGAGTTAAACAGGTCTCCCTTCTTCAGTAGGCTAAATAGGCCTCGGTCCTCAGGGCGTTCAACCTTCCACACTAATATTCCTCAACCTACCTCGAAGTATTTCATTATGACACCGCTCCCGTCTTCCTCCTCTAAGCGGTTGCCAGACCCCGAATCCCCATAAACTATCTCCACAGTATATCCAAAGAGGTGGCTCGCAGCCAGAAGACCCAGCTCCCAAACCCCATATCCATCGAGGTCGGCAAAAACTGTACCACAGACAACCAAAGATTGTTCGGTAGTCCTAACCGATATATTTTTGCTTCCGCAACCTGGCAGCACTCTCCCCTCACAACTACCAGTAGAATTTCAGGTCTTGAAAGAACTGGAAAATCTAAGAATCCGTCTACATAATATGGAAAGTGAAATGCCTTCCTTGCGAACCATACAATCGATTGCATGTCTTTTAACTCCTGATGCAATATGTGATCCTACTAACTTGGAAAATCGTCTATTTTAATTGACACGATTGCGTCAGAGCTTTGTCACCGCATCGAATGTCGGCACCAGGTCCTAGTATTCAACGCACCTGATCGAACCCCGCTTGAGGACATCAAAACTGCCATCTTGACAGCATGTGGCACGCTGGATACCATGTGCACAGCTCGGCGGATCCGAAAGTCAAAACCATCTATGTATTGCCCCATAATAATAAAATTTCGGGATTAAAAGGAAGCCGTGCGTCTTCTAACATCCCAGACTCTTCCCAACTTCACCAAAAAATTCCACACCATAAAACTCAAAGCTGCCCGTACTCGAATGCAAAGACAGCTCACCCAAAAGTCGCCTCAACCTGTTGCCCCATCTAACGCCAGAACTTGCGTGGATGCTCCCAAGGTACCCCTAAGCTCTGAGTGCTCCGTGATTACTCCCAGCACTGAATCTACACCCAACCATCCAGCAGCGTCTAACTTCGTAGCCTTACAAAACCATGAGTCCTCCATCGCCCCCACAAATCGACTCTGCTTCACCATCCACAAAAACTGCAAATGCCCCCATCAGCCCAGTAGGACTCCCTGCCAGTGTTGAAATGACTGACGCGAAACGCCTCACAACCAGAGCAATGACCACACCAGTTGCTGTTAGCATTCGTTCTCGTCACAGTCCCCCTGACCGGCTGTCCCTCCGTGCTCCACCTCCCCCAAAAATCCGCCTTGGGTTCAAGCACTTATTGTCAAGGCCGCGATACAAAGCGCACCGAAAATTGCATCCCCGAAAACCTGACCCTCCGCATGCTGTTGTACCTACACTTGTTACACCATCAACTACCAGTACGTACTTCGACACCCACACTACATACATGCTCTAAAGACTCACTGACTGCTCCAGGCACTGGACCCACACTAAACTACTCAGAAGCTTCTCACTTTATGGCCTTACAGGACCCTGAGCCCTTTATCGCTTCTACAAATGGACTCTATGCTTCGCCATCCGTGAAAACTACAAATGCCTCCATCAGCCCAGTAGAACTCTCTCCTGGCACTGAATTGACCGACGGGACGCGTCCTCCAGCCAGAGCAGTGACTATGGGAGGCGTTGACAACACTCGTTCTTGTCACAGACCCCCTGACCTGCTGTCTCTTCGCGTTGCACCTCCGCCAAAATACGCCCTCGGACTCAAATATCTACTGTCAAGGCCGCGTAACGCGAATACGCCCTCGAAAATCTATCTCTCGTTGTTATCAAGATAACTGCACCTTGCTTCGGCCCCCCTATAACTACATGACAAATACACCAAACCACGCGTACCGCGAGTTTGATGAAACCTCACACCCGCATATACCGGTGGTCAGCTCAGGCCATTATGCGCCTTCACCGTCCTACACACCTACTTCCGTCCCAATTGTTGACCATTTTCGGACGCGACCCATCCCTGCACAACCACCGTTACTTTCTGCACCATGCCATTCTCCACACCTCCCGCAGATGAGAATGACTTCATTTCCCAAAATCCCTCCCAACCCTCAAACGCTTCCGACTACATACCAGCCTTCAAGACATATACCCTACACCATAATGAACCTTATGCTCTACCTTCTGCCGTGGATTCAAACCTGCCTCAACCACTACCCGCCCCTTTTCCCCAGTTGTGAATACATCTCGACCTAATCCAAACACATGTCCAGTCAACGCTACTTCATGTACCCTAACCTCCCCTAAAGAATTCACCCTGGTACCGAACTCCACCGTAAACTAAGTTACCAAATTCCTACTTAGTATGGTGAGCTCACAAATGGACCTACCAATTATGCTCTTTAACGCCCACTCATGGCTGCCAAAAACCTATACTCTACGTGCTATTATTGCAGTTGTGCAACCGAGTCTGATTTGTGTGACCGAAACATGGCTCTCGGTTGATACTCCAGACACGGTGGTCTCAATCCCTGGCTGTAATCTTCACCGCTTTGACAGGAGGGACTCGAGAGGTGGAGGTTGTGCCATCTACTTTGTGTGACCAAACATGGCTCTCGGTTGATACTCCAGACACGGTGGTCTCAATCCCTGGCTGTAATCTTCACCGCTTTGACAGGAGGGACCTGAGAGGTGGAGGTTGTGCCATCTACTCCAACTCGGAACTTCGTGCAACCTCCTTAATGATCCCAGCCTAGAAGGGATTCCAGAAACTACCTGGATTTCCACAGAGCAGTCCAAGCGACATGTGCTAGTAGGCTGTATCTATCTACGACCGCCTCCCTCCC